AAACTCGTAGAACTGATAAGAAAAACATATATTTATTTCACACTTCACCTAGAATGGTCTTTGTTTGGCTTGGTATTTTTATCTTAAAGAAGACATCACAGGTATTTAAGGATCCCTTTTGACACTCACTAATGGGAACAAACCCTTATAACGCGTTTCAAAAACGTTCTTATCGCTTACCGATGATATGTTTTGAGGTGCAAACGATTCTTCTTTATGGGGAAAGTCAAGCGCAATCTTCACAGAGAAACTTTTCAAGTAAAACGTATATTTGAATAAGATAAACACGGACGAGAGTTTTGGCATTTAAGACATCCAATGCCCGGGTTTCTATATGAGAATGAGTATTTGCGTATGTGAAGAAGATTCAATAGTATAAAACATACAACACAACGATACAGAATGTAAATCGTATTTTTTGAAAATGTGCTTTTTTAAACAATGACAAACTATAAAATTCAGAATGATTCAACGCTTCAGATTATTCGATAAAAGTTCAAGAAAACATTTTGTCGACTAGCGTTGTTTTCGAGTATTCATAATGAGAAAACATGCAGTGGTTGATGGTGCTAATCAACTCTCACATGGTTATGATCTTGTTATTGACGATGATCAAACAAGAACTATTGTCGATTGGAGAGAATGTCAAATAGTTCAATGGAAAATAGATGCGAAAGTCAATTGAATTATTCATCTGATGTTGATACTGATAATAAAACAATATTATTATTATCTGTGACATAGAGAATCGAGCAGTAGTTCAGTGGCCTTGTAACAAAAACACTAGGAAAAATGAAATGTGCGAAATAACGATCGATTATGACAGAAAGAAATCTCTTTGTTTTTGTTATTGAAATTTCTGAAGATATTGATCTTAATCAACCCATTCTACCATCTTATATGTTTATTAATGAATGATAGACCGTCTATATATCAGACACAGAAAATTATTGTGTGATGAAAGGAACGGTCGTTTATGCGCTAAATAGACTCATGTGTTTCCACATATTCACCTCACTGATTATTGAAACCTTTCTGCATGACTTTTTCCCCACTGAACAATACTCATTTTGATCTCTTTAATTTATTTTATTTTCACACATGAACAAAAAGAAACGAGGTATAGAGCGATGATGGTACGCTCTCTCTAAATTTCAGTCATTTCTCGTCGTTATATACATCATAATGACTGTAATTAGATCTACTTGGGAATACATCGTTGAAGAACACTACACACGAATTTATATAGTAATTAAACTTTGGTTCATACAAATATTGCTATGATGAAATGCTCGCTTCTTAAACAAACGTATTCTATCATTGGATAATGATTAATACTATCTATTAGGAACAGATCCAAGTTCTGTCCTATTCCTTGTGTTGATCACTTTTCTAATTATGTGTCTCCAATGATCATGACCTATCGTTCTTAGATCTGTTACTCGAACCCATGCTCACTATTGTGAACTTGATCCTAAATCTAAGGTATTAACTATTCGACGTCTCAGTACCATTTTGTATACAAAAATATTCACGACAATAGTGAGGAAGAAGTTGATATAAGGCAAACTTTTTATATGGTTTTGATTACAGAGTATACTCCGTCAGGTTTTTTCTTGTTTGTTATTCGGTCTGAACAAGATGAAAACCCTTCTCATTTGATTGGTGTTAAGAAACAAAGCTGATAGCGAACACATTCTTCAGTATGAAACAGAAACTACCCTGAACGTTTTATTAGAACTAGAACACACAATATAATCTGAACAAGTTTTTCTACGACCATTGGTGTTGTCACTCAACGCGAGCTGCTGCTCGATATTCTCTGTTGAAATAGGGTTGAACATGCATTCATTTAATCCACCATAGTTTGACTTGTACCCCGATTACTTTGACTAAGAAACCGTGGCGTGCCGAAAACGTTCCGCCGCTTTAAATTGTTATGAATATCGTTTCCATCGGCTTTATCAAGTGATATAATCATGAAAAGAACCACAATTACAAGAAAAATAGTTATGCCTTTCATTATTGTTTTAGTATTCGGTTGATAGCATTGTCTTCTACGGAAAACCATAAATTATAGATTGGAAGACAACGTTTTTGACGAGGAACGACATGCTTTAATTGAATCGATGATTTGAATGCTTATGCTCACACAGATATAACTATGCTTCTTCTATACAATCTGACACGTGAAATCTAAGAAATGGAGAGTTGATCAGTAATTGTACAGAAAGTTCTCCTATCAATCCTGAGACTAAAGATAAGTGATAAAATATTATAAATTTCAGTCATTCTGATGTTGAACTATGAAATTTAGTTTGACATAGAAATGTTGACAAGTGTCTCACTTATTGAAAATGATGATTAAATACTACGTAGGTGCAAATATATGAAATATCCATGAGATAGATTTTTAACGGATGCTATCAACTGAGCAAGGTTTCTTTATTCGAAGAAAAATATCAGCAAATTCTCTAGATTAATTATAATCCTTCCTTATTTACTTGGTAGACATCTGACTTAAATTTTTATTACAAGAATAGCCGGTAGATTAGCAGGGACAAGTCAATTTGTCAAAAGGACATGCACATATACTCTCATATATTAATGGTCTGGATTCCACTAGGATGTCTAAAAAAAACCGTCGAAACAATCAGCTAATGAAGTAATATTATTTTAGAATTACAAGCGCAATCTGGGATTTGTTGTTTTTTTTCACTTAGACACGTTAATTCTATGCATATAATAGACGAAAAAGGATAGCTGAACGTTTTGCGAATGTTACTTCTCTGATAATAATATGTGTAGCACTGATTGTAAAAGACATAATAAACTTCCTTCGAAGTCATATACTTTATATGAGAAATACGCAATCGGATTCCTTTTTTATGTCGGTATTCTTCAAACCACACACTTATGTATTTGGTCATTTGCAATCATTCGAACTAACATTGCAATTATTTGTATGTTTCGACAAATGAAGGAAGAAGCTCATACAATGCATATTTTGTTTATTAGAATATTTTACATCGCACGTACAAAAGATAATGTACCGAAACTATACGGCGAAATGGAATCAGTGAGATTCATTTGTTTGAATTGATTGCTTCTACAGAGCTTTAATCAACTCTCTCAGTCAGAGATAAAGTTCGTGACTGTATTACTTTTGTTTTAACTGGAAGAGCGTAATCTGAGAGTGGTTTATCCTCTGTAATTCACTGCTCCTGTTCTCAAAGACCTTGCGCTACTTCTGAGATGTCAACACATTTATTCGACAAACATCAAGCGCAATGTTACCGATCTGATAACGTTTACCAACACTATAGATTGGTAGATATATCAAACGTTTTTCTTATTGGTGTTCAGTGCGTAATATTGTATGAGTTCTTCTTGTTCGGGCATCTTGTTCAGCTAATGGAACAATACGTGTACGTCGCCGGATGTACTTATTCCAAAGATTAACAAAAATATCGAAGAATTCGTTTCGAAATGGTTTTGATGTTGTTAAAAATACATAAAAAGGAACAACACTAATAAGATAGATCAAATTTTGCACGATATACCCGGAGAATGATTCGATCTCCTGTCGTAGCGGTGTTTTATCCGTGACATAAATTGTTGCTGCATTGTAAGCGAAATTACATGAGATAGGAATCGACGTGGAAACGTTTATCAGAACCTCAACGATGAGTATGCGCATCAGTTGTCGATCTCGTTGCCTGATGTGTGCCTGACCATCGTGTCGTTGACGAAGACTACGGAAGGTGAGAATACTGAAAATACTCATTAACGTCGGCGGCACAACGCTGATGAATGTAATCTGATACGCTGCATAGAATAACTTGTATGCATCAAACATTCCACAGACATTGTTTCTGATTTCCATGAAAACAAGAATATGAATACCAACAATTAACCATACTGAAATCATAATCAAGACAAGTTTAACTGCGATTGAGATTGAAGAAAATGAACGCAGATGTATACTTGTTCGTGTATAGAAATACCGATCTATGCAGGCAAGTACGATACTATACCGAACACATTGACCGAACAGATGAGTACCATAAAATCTTGTCTTGCAATATGCTATCGATTGTTTTTGAGGATCGATATGATCAAGTGAATATAAATATGGGAAAAGAGACCAAATCAAATACATTATCGAACAAATTGACAGACATAGGAAATAAACTGAACTAGCCGTTCGACGGTAGGTCTGTCGTGTAAACATAATACAACCACAGGCATTGCCTATGACACCGAGTCCGAGATAGAAACTCATTCCGTATCGAGTTATCGCTTGCTGAATGAGCGGTAGATTGGTCACAGGCATGATTTGAATAAATCGGCAGAGAGCAGGAAAATCTATATGCGCAACACTGGGAACGAGGAATGATTCTGTTTCTTGGCAAATAAAAACGTCTGCAACGGCGTTAAAGGCTATATTTTAAAAAAATTAATTAACAGAGACTTTCAAATGATAAGTTGTCTTTCTGCTAATTAAGAGATTAAATGAACGCTCATGACTTTTAAATCTGAAATCTGAAATCTGAAATGATGAATTTTATTATCTGTCTACGTATCGGTGACAGTAGCTTCGGTCATTTTCCAATCATTCTTATAAGATAATATGCTCTCACGTGTGTCAACATGAAGATAATTAGAAACTCGAAGCGAAAATTTTCTTTAATGTGATACATTCAGACCTATGTTGTTTCCTTATCGCATTACTATACTTTGCTTACTTACATAAATTTCAAATGTAATATAGACCTTTTTAGAGGAAGCAGATTTCCATTAGCTATGATCATAGCTCTTGCAAAAACACGAACGAATCAGTGAACTTCATATGTAAAGTTCAGCCATGTGCCTATGTTTACTGCACACATGTCACATCACCATACAAGAGAAATTATAATCGTTTATCTATAATCATACATAACTGTTATGGCATATTCCACGACGGGAGATACGCAATTCTCCAATATGTTTTCTTTCGTTCCTCTCACATATGTATGTTTTGTTCGTTCTACTGATCTCGATATGTGTTTCAGTGGTCTTCTCCTATGAGTCATGTATATATGTGATAGTACAAGTTTTTTCCAATATTCATATTGGAAATATCCGTTTCATCACACACATATATATATAGACCACATCTCCTAGCTTAAGTGTGTGTGCTTTATGTGCTAACTTTCATTTGCTGTTGACAACTACAGAATTTTACAGTCATCGGAAGGTTGTTGTCAATGTTGACTTTAAACAAAACTTTCATAAGATGAATTTCATCGTTTTATATTTAGTTCGAAGAAAAATCGCATTTCAATCACAACAACATGGAAAATGTTAGAATTAAAATTCAATCGAATAATTTAATCAAAAGATCAACGACTAAATTAGTAAAAGAATTTCTTGAACTGCAAGAGAAGTTCCTCAGCGTACAAAAAGCTACTTATGAACGTCTGGAAACGGTAAAGTACATGGTGGATCTATCTCTTGACAATGACAGAATCAGCATGTTAACTGAATACAAGCCATTAGAAGAAGTTCAAATAGCTGTATGCGGTTATAATTCATGTGGCAAAACTTCTTTTATACATGAGGTTCTTGGCTGTGGTGATTTCTTGCCTGTAGGCACAGGTGCAGTAACTGGACGCATTGTTAAGTTTTCGTATGCGCCTCCCGAACAAGCGTGTTTAATTAAATATGTATCAGCAACAGATCGTACACAAATTAGTGATCCGATCGACTTGTCTCAACATTTCAAAAGCAGTACCAATAATAAGAGTGATGTTAAAGCTCTAAGGAAGATCGTCAAAGAGCAATTAGCAAGACCGAATGATGTGGGCAAACATTCTGATGAGTTTGCCAAATGGGCGAGAACATTCATTGAAATTCGCCTGCCATCAACAAATCTCGAATCAGGTGTGCATATCTATGACACCCCAGGTTTTCTTGGATCCGATCCACAAGTTTTACGTGACAATCTACTTGCATTGGTGGTTAGTGTTCGTCCAACACTTGTTTTTCTCTACGACAATTCAACAGGTTCTGATGATACACGTAAATGCTACGAACAACTGAAGGTGGCTCTTCGTAGTCATATAATGGGTGTTGATATTTTCTTTCTCAACACCAAAGTGGATGTAGCCGTTATACAAAAGGATGCGCGACAACGAGACGACGACGATGACGATGATTTTAAAACATTATTGAATAAAGAACGTTTACGTCGCTACGGAGAACTAATGGAAATTGATCAAATGAAAAATGATGTTGAGCACCGAAACCACAGCGAAATGTCACCATCTTTCGAGCGGTGTGAATCGTTCGACATATTTTCCTGTTTATCTCCTTCGAATGAAATGGAAAAGGAAATGAAATGTCAAGCTATTGATCGAATCATTCGTTTCGCTGCTGATCACGATCTGCGAGTGACAAAATTCATCACCAACATTATTCTATCGGCTATTGATGTCTTCTTCGACTTCGTTTTACTCACGAACCGACGTACTCCTGATGAGTGGAACAATTTACGTGCTGACGCTCTAAAACGGGGCGAACAGTTTTTTGAACAGTATCGATGTGCCATCGATATGATAGCCAAAGAAGCAAATCAACGTTTATCGCAATGTTTTAATGAAAAGAAGCTCGATATCGAGAAAAGAGCGATACAAGATAGTGAAACACGAGACGTTCGATGCAAAGACTACTGCAACGTCATAGATCACTGGCAGTCCATAGTCTCACATATGTTCGACATCAATTTTGCCTGCCGTGAAACTTTGTCAATTCTCTCACGATCTAAAAAACACGATACTTTTCAGCATGAAGAAAATTTCATTGATGCGATAGTAGAAAGTGAAGTAATGAAGCCGATCATACAAGATATTTTCAGCAAACAAAGTTGCTGTATTAAGAAAGGCCTGGTTGCAGACAATATTCTTTATCGAAACAAGAACGAATTATTGTATGCAGCTCACTGGCAAGTGTTTTTGGACTACCGTGATCTCAATGACAATTACAGTTGGATTATGGAACGAATACTAGAATTACCGCTGATTATAAGTGTCTATTTGGTTCTCTCGTTGCTTAAAATTTCCATGGCCGCCGCTTTAGTTGCAGTCAAAATTGGATTTTCAAAGAATAATAACCTTGACGAAAAGCAAGCCGTACTTGATCAACGGAAGAAGAAAATTCAACATTACCTCGTTGTCCTTGGAAGTAAGATGGATAAAATGGGTGATCATCTAAAGAAACATTTGTTGGAATGGATCGACAGTAATTACGAGAAGTTTAAAGAAAAAGTCGACCTATATCATTCAGTCATATTGCGTACTATGAATGATCGTGAAAAAGCTTATAAACTAGCTCATGAATTCATACCTGCATTCGCCCGTATCGAATGTCACTTGGCAGCAAATCTGGATATGGCTACTCACAATGGATCGCACCCAATCATTAACCGGAATGAAGTCGAAGGCGAAGGAGGATATTTCACAGTTCATCCAGCGTCCTGGGATAATGACGATCAACTTGTTGCTAAAAGCTTAAAACAGCATTGCACCGATCCAAATTTTGCATACTTAGAAGGACATTTCCATCGCGCAGTGACCAATCTCAACGTTCCACACATAATTCATTTAAAATATTTGTTTATTGACAACGATGTCGTCAATTTAATTATGCCTCGTTATTCGGCCAATCTTAAGTCATTCCTCGAGAAAAACATGAAAGATATGAATGCTGATAAAGCTATAGAAATTTCACGTAACGTTGCAAGTGTCATTGCGCATATGCATGCTTATGATCTTGTTCATCGTGATATTAAAGCTGAAAATATTCTTATTGACGAACAGGAGCATGTCTATCTGGCTGACTATGGTACATGTCAACATGGAACCGAGAATCACACCATCGTAGGTACTGTTCCATTCCCGCCGGACATTAATGCTTTAATGACATTACAATCTTCAAGTTCGAACAGGGATCATCTTCAAACTTATCAAGGTTCAGCTGTTGATGTATATCTACTCGGCGGTCTTATGTTTGTATGTGCACCGAAAGAGAACTACTCTCCAGCATCGGATGCAAATCCTGAACAAGTAAAACGACTTGATCGACATAAAGTTCCTGAAAGTTATTGTCAATTGATCTTACGTTGTCTACACAAAGATTGGAAGAAAAGACCGACAGCAAAAGAAATCGTTGATGAACTTGATTCAATTGCAAAGGAATTGTGCATGATTTGCCAGGAAAAACCGCGCTTCCGACGCTGTCTTCCTTGTCAGCATAAAACGATGTGCGAAGAATGTTATGCGAAACTTTTACAGCAGAATAATGAAGTTTCTTGCATCATATGCAGGCAAGCCGTCACTGCTGTTCAAGACGACAACAATTCGAACACTTTTTTTATTACAGATGAAAGGCGGTAGAATAAAAACCTTTTTTTTATCGATACTATCGCATAAAATTAGAAGAAAAATATATAATCATGATATCTATTCGCAGAATTGCAAAAAATCGACTATTAATACAAACGTCTGAATGTGTTTCAATCTTTCGAACAAGCTGCCTCAGATGTTTTTCTATTGATATTAATCAAAAAGATTTCTGTTGCCCTTTTCCTTTATCGAATAGTTCGGACTAACAATCAGTGTCTTTAATTGATATTATTGTATCCGAAGATTGCAGATGAATAAGTGCAATATTGTATGATGGTGGTGCAGCTTCCACGTGATGTTTATCGCTGACACCGTCGTATGGCGGTGGCAGTGCTTCAAGCGCACTAGAAATGGTTGATAACGATGGTTTTTCATTAGATGATGTAGGAACGCCAAGCTTTGCTTGTTTTCTGAGTTGCCTTTGGTCGAGATTTTGTTGTCTCTTTGTGTAAAAATCTTGGATGCATGCACAACATGTCAAAACAGCCACAATAATCAGAGGACAGCAAACGACGGAACCTACCACAAGTCCTAAAACCACTTGCAATGCTGGAGAGATTGGATCTCCAGAAGGAAGTGGTTTTATATCCCAATAATCTGGTCGTGTAAAATGAAAAGTCACTATCGAGGGAAATGTTGGAGGTGGTTTAAGTGTACAATACGAGACTTTAGTTGAACATTCTGTATGCCCTATCAATGAAAGCTAAATCATCATTTCAATCATTCAGAAATTTTTTCTTACTCGGACAGCACCATACCGATCCTCCAAGAGAACAAGTCTGTTCTAAATTATAAGGCACACATGATAATAAGTCATTACGAATTTAAATGGTAGAAATAAACATACGATTTGCCATTGAACAGTCTTGACCATAAACAGCTATACAATCCAAATTAAGTAGAATAAGGATAAAGTATAACTTCTGACTCAATTGATTAAACATTGCGCTTCGAAAGCGCACGGTGTTTTGCCTTGGTAATCTAAAATTTCAGTATAAAAAGCATAATAAAACGAGAAAGATGTTTTGAATAAATATATGCTGCAAAAAAAATCATAAATAAGTCTTATCTTTTTCAAGAGTGAAAGGATTAGACACTCGAGTATTTTTCTCGGAATCTCGATAAACTTGAAAAATATATTATACGCAAAAATTGTTTCATCATAAACATTTGTCATGTGAATACAACAAAAAGAAAAGGTTTTTACAACTATAGAAGACAGTACTGTTTATCGAAATGTATGCGTGGAATAGAATCTGTGAGTGTTATCAGTTGATTGCACAGCACCACACTACGATAAAAATGATGAAATCATGAGTTAGACGGACTTTATACTGCAATTCCTTTTTAACTCTCGATTAGTTTTATACCTTGCATGCAGAAAGATAAGAAACTCTTTTCTTCTGTCATTATTTAACAAATGCAACATTTAATATCAGCAATCGATTCAAATACTATTATAAACGATAGCGCAACGTTAGTCACAAAGTTTGTTTCATTGCTGTTTTTTACGCAAACACAACAAAGAATTCAAAATATTCTTCTCATCTGATTAGACAGCAACAACGATGATCAAAATAAAGGCTCTCAAAACATCGTAATCCAGTTACAACGTATTATTACCGAGCAATGTAAGAAATTTAATCAAACAATCATCGACTGTAAAATGTGCATGATTATTTCAGGATCACCTGGACGAGATTTACTACCGCATATACACGACCTGTCTCAAGTGGATTCGATCTTCATCTTTTGCGGTAACAAAGAGTATCATGAGCAGTGAGAAAAGCAATCGTCTAAAAGCAAAGGTACTTTTACCGACATCAAACTCATCTATGACGCTCTCAAACAAGCAACTCAGCAGTGTGAGCAGAATGTAGTGCCCATAAGTCTTATTGAAGTTAGGAAAAGGTAGGATCAAATAATAAAAGAAATATTATTAACCATCGACTTCAACGATCAACACATTCATGATTACGTAAAATATTATCGTAGTATATTTGCCGATCGATCTGAAGAACTGTGAACATTGCAAAACTACTGGAGTGTCAGTACCATCAAAACACACCGGTATGGTAGTATAGTTATGAATGTTTCTTCTATCGCATGCTCAATCGTGACATACGAATGGGCTGTTTCATCAGTGATCTCCATCGACAACTTGAGCAGCTTCACAGTGTACTGTGAACACGATCTATGAAGAGCACACTTATTTGTAGAACTCAGTCAAACAATAGGTGAAATAATGTCCTTCGACAGTTTCTTATGCACTAGCAAGGCCCGTGATATTTCACTGGTTTTGATAAACGGGCTACAACGAGTCCTGATCTAGTTGAAATCCTATTTGTGATGCAAATCGATCTAAAAAAAATGAATGGTTATACCAGGTGCGTGTGACACTGTCCTGTGATAATGACCAAGAGCTGAATATTCTAGCCGAACAGATTCAAAAGGAGAATTTATCGAACGCAGAAGGATGGTACAAACGAGATTAAAACCAACTGGCAATCACGTGCGTTTGAGAAAACTCCTTGGTCCAAACCACCTCCATTTGGCGTCAACTTACAATAATATGGGTGAGAATTCAAAAGCACTTTCGCACTATGCAAAAGACCTCGAAATCTATCGACAACAAACTACCTGCGAATCATCTCGATCTTGTTCAATAAAGAAAAACATCGTACGTGAAAAAAAGAAGTTAACTTGTGTTTCTTATACTGGTTCTGTTCTAATAAAACTAACTGTTTGAACCGGGATTCCGCCAGAAAATTATCGCGATCAACGTAGAAATTCTTGACGATAAGTAAATTTGAACTAAGACACATAGTGCACATAGAAAAATCAGAATATCTTCGTCAGTTTCCGCTTTTTTTATGCGAGCAGATATTTTACTGCATCCGAGGGTCACAAACTAGAATTAGAGCATAAGGCGTGTTACATTTTCAAACTTTATTTAGAAATGATAAAACTTTCATTTAGTCGATGAAATATAGTTTATGGGGCAAAAAGAAGCAAAAACTGAACCAATTGAAGAATGCCTTCCGGATAATCATCACCTTGTTGATTTTTAATACGAATATCTTCATTGTCCAATGCATCCATTGGGGTTTTCGCTCGAACTAAAATTTCTTTCCAGATTCGTTCTGTTTTAATTTCAATCGCTAAATCCGGTTTGATTTGCTCATTCCAACCGTCTTGAACATCCACAATTGAATTTCGAAGTTCGACCGAATATTTTTCATTGGTGTCGTTGAAATGAAAGAAAATCACCAGGTTTTCGATTTCTGCCTTTTGATAATTAAAATTCACCGGCAGAACTTGTAAGCAGTTTTTGATCGAAGATTTGGACACAGTTTCAATGATTTGTTTTTCCGATGGTTTTATATGAATCAATCCTTGAATTTCTAACCGTTTTGTCATATACCAGTTTCTTCCGTTGGCCGAAGTTTCGAACGCGGCTAATTTTTCCAAAGTCGAACAGTGAAGTTCATTGATTTCTGAAGGATTTACATCTTCAGGGTATAAACTTAATGCTTCAACCAATTCCAGAGTCCATCG